AACTGCGTATCATTCTGAGACCCATGAACAGAAGATATAATAATATGTCACATGGGGAATCAAGAACATAGAGACCCCTAGTATTTTTATGAATAGAGTCGTTTATGGAAACGGTGTGTTTGCTCGTTTCTTTTAGTATCATTTGGGTAATGCCAAAAAGAAAGAAGGGATAGCCTTAACATACCTGGAATAGGGAAAAATCCGTATGATATTCTTGGAAAAGGTTGTACCATACTCCTTTAGAAACGCAAAATTTCACGTTGCTACTGTGTTAAGAAATCTCGTTGGTTGAAGAAATCACGTTGCAAAAATTTGTACGACGTAATAAAAAACGTTGCTTCAGAACACTTTTACTTCATGTTGTTTGCCGAAGAGACTCCTTAGATCTAAAGTGAAATATTGAATGGAAAAGAGTAAAATGATTCCTATGTCTCATTCTTTTGCTTTCTTGATAACACTTTTAACCAAATGAGATAAGGTACTAACTCTTTACACGTTGCCACCTTGCAAATTGAATTAAGAGTCATTAAATGGAATATGGGGGGCTGCCACGTTTGGGGGGGGGAGAGGTTAATATTATCCTATAATCAATTAATTAATTAGGTAATATCCCGATACCCGATAATTAATCAATTACCCACATAATTAAAAAATATCTCAAATTACTTAAAATTTTACTTATTTTTAATACACTTTATACATCATACTATCACGGTCATATGGTACTAGTCCATAAATATCGGGTATTATAGCTAGGACCGTATTTTATCCCAAATCGACAACCTTCAATGAAACTCATTTTCTTTAATTCGTGTACCATTTATCCTTCAGGGCACTTACTTATCGCTTGTTATAAATATCATAAATACTTTAACCTCAAGATAATCTCATCCTCGATTCTACGTCGATTAACTGAAGACGAAACTTTTACGTACGAAAATGCGAGATGTAACATTCCTAAAGCCCACGGAGAAGGGTGTGGAGCCTCGCTTTCCATGTTTCTCCCCCCGTCCAATCCTTTCAAGCTTGATCCTTCCCTTAGATTCGTTACCTTGTTCGACTGAACTCGTTGGTTCCGCGCAACCCTGTCGATCTGGGAGCAGTCTTGTCTTTTCCTTTGTACTATTTTTAGTAGATAAAGAATAAGCTCTGGAGGCGGATAGGCCGATGGTAGGGAAGGCGCGCGCTTCGTCAAGTAAGAGAGAGGATCTTAGGCCGAACAGATCACTGGCTCCGAAGGTCTGCAATCGTGACTTTAGTTCCGGTGGTTCGCTTTACGCCTTTGAATGAGAGTTTTGGGATATGGGGCCAAACCCTCTTCTCTCTTTTGCCCATCTACCTCGGTTGCCTTGTCTTCTTCAGTTGGAACATAACCTAGCCTAGGGGAACAATTGAATCTTGAAAGACTGAGCCCCCGGCTAGCAAGATCGGGAGGGTTAGTGTCCGGCTTTGCCGACTTGGATTGGAAGGAAGGGCTTCGCTTTCCGATCGCTTTTTGAGGCCGGTTTGTATCCTCATTTTATTAGAGAACTGGGGTCTATGTCAATTAAAAGGACACAAGTAGATTAAAATTTTTATCAAAGCCGGGGAATTTCTTCGATTTTCAACAAGATTCTATTCAATCTTTATGAACTTCCGTGCACTCCTTATATCATAAAGAAAAAGGTAAGTATGGTGCCTCGGTAGGAATTCATATCCGGTTCAAGGGAAAAGGCAAGGAACTTTCAACAGGCATGGTACGAGAGGAAAGAGACCAGCCTTAGGCCTCTTCGAGTCCGACTTGTGTTGCTAATGTTGATGGTTTGAGGGAGTTGCGACTTCAAGGTGGTGATGGTTTGCTATTCTTTCGAGTGCTACAGAGATGTTTCATGGTTGAAGCAATATTATAGGTTTTGGAGGTAGGGTTGTTGTCACGACCCAATTCCCATTATGGGCCCTAATGGCGCCCAGCATCGTCGCTAGGAAAGCCAACGGTGAACTATCCATTTAATTGTTCATTTTAATATTTGTAAAGTCATTGATTTTACATGAAAGACGTGATTGAAATATGCACCTGGAATTAAATCACATTGGTATAAAGGTCGGGAAAGGAAAAAGAGGAGGAAAGAAGCAAGGGACTGAGCGACGAAGCGAGCTTTGGAACCCTTCAATTACAAAGTGGAGTTCGAGTCATGAGATCTAAAGTGCAAATACTCGACGCCGTGAATCAAGAAATTCGGGTGATATACATAAGAAGGCGTTGGTCCATCGGTGCCTTAGGGGAAATCATTGCTCTGCGGTGATACGGACTCGGCCCGCTCCTACCCACTCTGGGGTACCATAGCATGTCGGGAATAAGTCTTTACGGGTTTACTCTTCTACTTAAGTTCCTAGCTAGATTAATTCATGTATTCGGAGATCTAAGAAGTCACGAGTTAACCCTATAAATGAAATAGGGATACCAGAAGCATCGTGGGGCTTGTCAAGGTACAACTTTTCTAACGGATTCCCAACTGGAAAATCCAATTCAAGCTCTGCCTTTAGCTTGACCCCATCTCCCCTACCGATGTATTTTTATATCCCATAGTTTCGGCAGATCGCTTAGCCCTGAAGACACAATTTTTTCTGAAGAATTCGCCATGATATACCTGATCCATGCATAATATCATAAAAAATTTAGTGGTTGAGCGATGAATTGTTGGATCTTTGCTAGTAGAATGCCCTCCACGAGAAGAAAGAATAGTGGGATGCTTACGCTAACGCATCACCAGCTAAGCTAGTCACTTGGAACATAGGGGTATTCAATCCCCTAGCTTCTGGGCCTTGAGAACAGAATTTTGTCGACAACCTCTCATTTGTACGACTACTCGCAGGGCCTGCTGCATTTTGGTATAAGAAGCCCCACCCGGGAAAAGGGTGTAAAGTTGTACTCATGTTAAATTTGATCGAGTGCGCTTTCCTTTCTCCTACTCCCACTTCGGGAAGGGAAGTGCTAAGGACGGGCATGCTCAACTGAAAGACTGAGATTGTTCGGGAGACATGGTCCAAGCCTGGTGAAAAGTAACTGATTCTAGGAATGCCGATTTATCCACATCAAAAGGAAAGGAATCAGTCCGGCAGCAAGAACTGAACCCTGTGAATTGCGTGAAAGTAGGATACTCCAAATTCGGGGGGTCAAAGAGTTTTAGAAAACTTTTTTGATAGAAAAAAATGAGAAAGATCTCTTTTTTATGGCTTTCACTTATCGATCCGGCCCAGAAAAGTGACCGATCAGGGCAGGGCCCTATTGATAAATGAAAGAAAGGGTCTAAAGGCATTACTGGCCGGCTTTCTCAATCTTCAATCTAACTTCAGAAATTGAATAAGCCCACTTGACGAGACTCTTCATACTCTGCTTCCACCTTATTCCTTTCAAGGTTGCACCTCGTCGTAGTTCTCAGTTCGTGGGAATTGCTTCCATCATTAACCAATTCAACTCGGCTAGTGGGCCCTCCATACTGAGCTAAGGTCCACACTATAGATTAGCTATAGTAGCTATAATAAGAGAAGAAGGACTATTTTAGTAAGGGTGTCAGCTGCAAGTATGAGGGGACATTCCCCATCATAGAGAAAGTAGGACAAGTTGCCTAAAAACTTCAGCTTCTTTCCAAGCTAAAGATCCACCCTAAACGGTACGTAGGCGGCGGATGTGTGACGTTTGGAGTTGTCGTTCATGCACCTGTCCCCAATGGAAGAATGAGTGATCTGTTCCCCTGCGGATCATGGCCTTACCACTCGGTCCCCGATGGCCAGTGGGGGATTCGGTATAGCAGCTCAGGTTCGTTTGCGTTGTTGTTCTATGATAGTGGTTTCATCTTCTAGATTAGGCACTGAAACTGATCATTTTTTTATTCCTTCAAATTTTTTATTCAGGGGCCTGGGTTTTTGGCTCTTATACTATGGCATCTTGTCCAAAGTGAGCGGTCATGTAAACTCTTTGTCTATTCGACCCTTTCCTTTAATAAGAACAATCTAAATGTGACACTTTCACGATATTTATAATTCTTAAATCTATATGGTTGAATAAAAATTCGATTGACCATTTGATATAATTGCTATGCTTAGTGTGTGACTCGTTGGTTTTTTAGGGTTAGGATTAAAAATGAAGAACCTGCTCCAGAGCGACTACTCCGCCTAGCCTATCTTCCTGCCCGCAAGATTGAATAATTCCTTCATTCTATTCCGGCTATTCCTTTTTGGCGGGTGATTTATTCATGAGCTGGAGAGATAAGAGCTTCGATTCGCAGGCAGGATATAGAAATCGTTGCTATTGGCATAACAGATACACCATAGATTAGCCCAACCCATTTCTCTCATACTAGGGTTGGGTCCTCGCAGTTCTCCCTTTAACACCAACGGTAGATAGGAACCGATTCGTCTCACGACGTGCCGTCCGTTCGCTCTCTGTTCAACAAAGGCCATCGAGTAGTATTGACTTATTATTTCACATTGCAAGTTCTTTATTTTTTAGTTAGAATTGATAGATTAATTTTGTCAAACATTTGCATAATGTTATGAAATTATATTTATAAATATTAATTTATTTTATCAAACATGCATTCCATTATGTTCTTACAAAACGTATGTTTTTAATTTTTATAATTAATTAAACTAAATATTATTAATTTAGAAAATATATATCAATTAATTTTACAATAGTTATAAATATATGATGATCAATTAGTGTATATTCAAGAAAATATATGCATCTTAAATACCAATTCTAATATCATTTATACTTATAAAAAATTATTTATAAGCATATATTTATTATATTAACTTTTAAATTTTGATAATTACTTCATTTAAAATTTAATCTAATTATGTAATTATACTTGTACAACCAAACAGTATGCTTGTAATTACACTGTAATTACTTTATGACAAACAAACAGGTCGTCGTAATTATTAGGTTGTGTAATTATACCAATTCCAATTACCGAGTGACCATCCAAACAGGCCCCAAATAAAGTAGGTAGGCATTCAACCAAGGAAAGACCAGAATCAGTTATTATACAAAAGCAAAAAAGACCAAAATCCAGAATCAGTTATTATACAAAAGCAAAAAAGACCAAAATCCAGAATCAGTTATTATACAACAGCAAAAAAGACCAAAATCCAGAATCAGTTATCATACAACAGCAAAAAAGACCAAAATCCAGAATCAGTTATCATACAACAGCAAAAAAGACCAAAATCTACCAAGTTACATATCAAGAGCCACTGAAGAGCTAAGGTTGAGCTGCTGCTGCTGCTGCTACTACTAACTCTACTCATCATTTAGCATTACCCTTTCCTCCACTGTTTCCATACAAGCGGAAAAGACTGAAGGCAGAAATACCAGAGAGGACGATCATGCTAAGGCTCGCTATTACAGAACTTGCAACGCCTTCACCAGCTTGGTTACAATATTTACCATACATATCGCAGAGTTTCATCCATTGTAACTCTGTTTGACCTAACTTGGAAAATACTGCCGACTGTGCTGCTGCTGCCACCGCAGCCAAATTCAAGTAGGCCATCAACTGCACACACCGGAAAAAGGACATCAATTATAAATAGGATTTACCTAACATTGATAGCATTAAGAAATTTTGCACTATCAGTGTATTTTAATTGATTATAGCATGTTCTATTTTAGTTACCAAATTATATACACAATAACCGGTTCTTATAGGTCATTTTAACCTGATGATATCAAAAAACTGTACCCCGTCAGTACACAGAGGCTAAACTCTTGTAAATATGGTATTAGTGGAGCAAAATATAGTCAAAACCCTGAGATTGAGTAACAATAACCAAGACTCTTTTTTGAATTTCAATAATTACAAACACCTCCAGAAGGTTAAAAGGGTATAGTTTGAGTATTCTGTTGAAAAGAAAAAGTAAAAAACTGAAAAAGATAGTTATATAAGCATATGACCATTGAAACTACCCTTCAAAGATGGCTAACAACATGAACTTCTGAACTATTGGATTTGAACTGGAATTAACAACATACCCAGTATAATCACACATAGTGGGGTCTGGGGAGGGTAGTGTGTACACAGACAAGACATTACCCCTACCTTGTGGAGATAGAGAGGTTGTTTCCAATATACCCTCGGCTCAAGAAAGCATAAGCACCCCATTAATGAAAAGAAAAACAACAAGAGACAACAACGAGAAGCCATGGAAAAAGAGCATAAATAACAACAAGATAGTTAGATGACCGAAATGAAAGATTTGACTGATCTCTATAAATGTGACAGGATGCTTTCTTTCATTTATTTGAGGTGTGTTTCATGTCTGAAGGTTCACGAATTATGAACTATATAATGGTTTATCATAGTGTCTGACACAGGAAAGCAATTCACGCGTGAAACACCAGCTCTCTGATAACTTCTGGAGTTCTCATTGCATTTTTTAAGTTAAGCATATTTAATGTTGCAAAACCAGTCATCCAAAATGCATCATTGCTACATTCAGTTTAGGAACCCTTTTCCTCTTCAGATCACAAGTTAAGACAGTGGCTTAATTTTGATCCCAAGAACTAATAGACTAAGAATTTACCCTTAATAGATGACATCAGATTGTATTAAATGGGAAGAAGACTTAAACCACACCCCGGTGTTCACACCAAACAAATAAATGCGAGACACATATTTGCACATAAACTTTTCCCACTTAATATAGTTAATTAGCATATTTTCACACCTCATTTTATCACTTAACCATGATAAGTAGTACGGTCTGGTACAAACACCGAGTGCTAGTAAACATTTTGCTTAAATGCCCATCAAGGGGGAAATTTTTTCTAGGGAAAGGCCGTAAAAACATCTATTTTTTGCCAACTTAAAACCCGCACACATTTGTTGGTAAGGGTAGATTTAGCGGACAAGATCTTATGGGTATAAAACATGCAAGAAGTGCCTTTTTGTCGCTCCGATTTGTAGAAAAACAGCTAGAGACAAGTAATAAAGGATTTTTCTAATATGGACAGCATTATCCCATAATTTATATGCAGAGAAGGATGCAGTAAACGCTTCTGCACTGATTTCCCCTTGGTACTTAGTTATCACGAATACATGTAGTAGAATGTACTAATTGAATTCAAAGCATTCAGAATCAACCAGTCTACTAAATTATCATGACATTCACTTTTAAGTAGTCGCACACGAAGGGCATAGATAAGGAGAATGGCAACCAATTCCACACCATGTCTTGGGTTTTACATGGACGAGAAAATATCAATAATACTTCCTTACAGTTGGGGGTTGGTCTGAAATAGTCCTTTAAATATAAAACCTCAGCAGTTGTACTCCTTTATGTTTACCAAAACTGAGTGATTTTGGTCTCAATTATACTTAAAACACACGGCGTTATTTATATATCACGAAATTGACTTCTCAAAAGCACGTGAACCGTTATAAACTGAAGAAAAAATTCGGATGGACCTCTCCCAATTCATTTCCCTCAATTTGTACCCTAAGAAAAACAAGATCAGCAGCAGAAGCAGGCCAGACACTAGAAGAAACAACAAAAATAAAAACCATATAATTGGGAGGAAATGAATCAAGAGAAGTTCATCTCCATGGTTTTATTCAGTTTAAACGGCTCGCGTGCTTCTTACAAGCCAAGTTTTCGATACACAACCATTGTCGTGTGTTTTAAACATAAAGAGACAAAAAGTGCTCAAGTTTGATAAACATAAAGAACTAGAACTGCTGAAGTGTATATTTTTGAAGGATTACTTTAGACTAACCTCCAGAAATGCAGGGTAAGGCTCCGTACTATCGACACTTGTGGTCCGGCCCTTCCCCGGACCCCGCGCATAGCGGGAGCTTCGTGCACCGGGCTGCCCTTTTTTTTTCTTACTTTAGACTAACCTCCAAACTACTTTTTGGCAGTCTCTCCAGTTTGGACTGAACTACCAACGAATTTTACCTATTTGAGTCATATTTGACCCAAAGATAGTTCTATTCTAGTTCAAGCATTGTACCAACTCCATGTTTAAGAGGCAAACATTAACCAAAATTCCCTCAGTAAACAACCCCATCACATTAACTGGTCCACAATGCATCCTGCGTTCACGCAGGGTTTGGAGAAGGGTCGCACCCCAAGGGGTGTGAGGTAGACAGTCTACCCGATGCAAGCATCGGTGGCTGATTCCACGGCTCGAACCCCATCACACTAACAATGAAGTAAAATAAGGTCCATCTGAGATAAGTACAAGAGGATGTGCCTGACTTGAATCAGCTCAGTTTCTCAAAGATAATGCAAGGGTTCGACTTTTAAAAGGATTAATATCAAAAACCTACTTTTAAGTTTTCACAGCAGAGTCACTAATTATGGAGCTTTGAAAAAGCTCTCTTGTTCTAAATTTTAAGTTAACCTTTGGAATATCAAATTTTTTATTTAAAAATAAAGCAGAATTAAAATGAACCCTTTTTACCTGATCACCAGAAAAAATAGCCCAAGCCAAGGGCTTATTGAAAAGAACACTTCCTCTAATCATACTCAAAATGCACCTTATAACTTGAACCAGTGAGTAAGCAGCAGCTAATCCATTAGCTATCACTAAAAATCTGCAAAAGAAAAGAACAAAAGTTCAAACCTTTAACAAAGTTCAAGTCTTTAACATTTAATCTTTGAAGGGAGAAGGGTCAAATATACTAATCTACTATACAAAATATCTTAATTTTACCATCCATTACATTTTGGGACCATTCATACCCTTATCATTGGTACGAAAAAGTATAATGGAGGGTAATTTTAAACCACAGATTTGAACCCTTTTCCCAAAGTATTTAGCACGTAAAATCCACCCAATCCACACTAGACTCTTGTTAAAGTCAAACAAATTCGAGACAATTTGCTAAAGAACAAAAGTATGTCCGGCTCTGCCCGTGGACAAATCATTTCGTGTTCACGCAGGGTCCGAAAAAGGACGCACCCATGGGTGGGATGTAGACGGTCTACTTTAATGCAAGCATTAGTCGTTGTTTCCACGGCCCGAACCCGTGATATGTAAGTCATACGGACACAACTTTATTGTTGCTCCAAGTGCACTAAGTTCCCGTTATGTGCGGGGTCCGAGAAAGGACAGAGTCTATTATAGGCAGCCTTACAGCTCGAACACATGACATCCTGGTCACATTGCAGCAACTTTATCAGTTATCCTAAGACTATCTCCTTCACCCCTTTCATAAACCGATGGTAAAATTAAGATATTTCATACAGTGGAGGAGTAAATTTGGACATTTTCCGATCTTTGAATTACAAGCTAAACAACCACACACACAAAACAAATAGAAAAAGAGAGCAAAAACCACTTACACAAGAGATTTCATGTCAGTGAACTTAGCCTTTTTCTGAATTGAGAATATAACTCTAACTTGACTATCAGTACCTATAAGAACAGCAGCAAGAACTGCTAAACCACAAATTAAACACCTTAATATCAGCTCAGCTAATCTCACTCTCTTATCAATTACCTTCAAATTACTCCTATGATGAATTGGAACATTCCCTGGACTTACTCCAATACCCAAATAACTCATGGTTTTTACACTAAGCCAATTGCCCACAAACTCCCAAAAGTTTAGAAATTTATTTGTAGTTCACAGGAAAGTTTGCACAACAGTACAAAAACATCATTGCCCGTGCCACTTATATATATGGGAGAACCCCACTAAGCTTTAATTATTTTAATATTTTATTAGTACATATTTTTGGTGGTAGATTTTATTTTAACTTTTTTGGGCACTATTATTAAATTAGCAGATTTGTAGTGATTGAGCTTAAATGTAGCTCTGCTGCACTGTGCCAAGTGCCAGGTGTTCCTACTAGTTAGTGGGTTTAGCTTCACACAACCAAAATATGGAAAAGAAATTAAGGGGTAGTTTGGTATAAGCAAAAATAATCCTCCGAGTACGGTCTTATCCATTGTTGAGTTACTAATTATGGATAAGTTATTTTATGATTAAAAATAGTAGCGGGACAGTTAATACCTGCTAGAGGGTAGAAAAATAATTCCAAGATAAATATAATTTTTGAATTAATACAACATACCAAACAATCAATAAAAAATAATATCAGAATAATTAATCCAAACATAATTAATCTCAGTATAACTAATACCACAATTTCTCTCTTTGTTTTAATTTATATGACACATTCTGTTTATCAATAATTAATTTGATTTATCTTTGAAGCTAAATTAAATTATCGTGTAAATTGAAACGGATGGAGCAATAAATATTGAGTTGAATGAGAGCAATCTGACATGTGGGGTTGAGCAATTAAGGACTAGGTTGGGAAAGAAAACTTGAAATTTTGGACTAAATGTTTTGGGAAGAACCAACATGTTTCTTGTCCCAAGATAATGCTTGAGAGAGAAAGGAGTAGGGTGTGCCTTTAATTCTCTTAATTCAGTGGTAGGTATAGTGGAATTTATGATTGACCCATTTCTCTGTGACGAATAGCAAAAGGGTCACAAGTAAATGGTTCACTTTAATTTGTTGTTTTAACTAACTTCTTTGTATCTTTTTTTTCTTCTAAGTTTTTGGTAACAAATAATGGAATGTGAATATGTGAAAATTATTTACATTCCCCAAGTTTGCTTTAAACAATTATCATTTTATTCCTCATATTAAAGATGACTTCTTAAAATACTTATTCTACCCTCTATAATTTTTAACTCTTTTTTTTATTCTTTAACATAATTATATTATTTATTTTAATTTATATTATCTACTTACCTATAGACAAATTTAAAAAACTTTTTCGTAACCAAAAAGAGTGAGAAGTAGTAGTCAAGCATATAAGTTAATGATGTTCAATAATGAAATAAATGAGAAAAATAAAAAAAATTAGAATAAATAATTTACTCGTATCAGTAATTTTATTAATAATAATCAAAAATTTATTTACAAAACTGAGAATAAAAGAGAGTGAAAAATTTATAAATTATAAAATGCAGGTAATAAAAAATAATGGGCGTAAAATACAAGTAAAGTCTATAATAAAATTTGCAAAAATTATCTATTTAAACTTTACATGAGCTTTAATTATAAATTTTTTAAAATCTAGTAATAACAATCAAAACTCAAAAATTTATATACACCATAGATAATAATAAATAGTGGAACTTAAAATCACACGCACACACCAACATACATTATATGCATTTTAATATACATAATATTAAAATAATAATAATAATAATAATAAATTAGCAATAAAATTTGTGTAATAAATTCATAATATAATTATTTTATTTATAATGTTAGTGAACTTAGATTAAATTATATAAATAAGATAGAGTATTTTTAACTTATGAATAAATACCTGCATTAAAAAATATCTAAATAATATAAAAAAAGGTATTACATATATGGAGAGTTGAAAATGTCAAGGGTAAAAAAGATATTGTGTAACACGAAAGGATGAAAATGACAATTGTTCAAAATTGAAGGATGAGTTTGATTTTTAGAGTAAACTTGGGGGATGTAAATGATTTTCACCCAGTTTTGTATCTGAGTCCCAGTTTATACGATACTTTTCGCTTTCCGAGTCAAATAAGAAATCTTCGACCACGATTTCTTGTATACGATATTTTTCGCTTTCCGAGTCAAACAAGAAAATCTTTGTATGCCCTTTAAATATTTTAAATTGTTAGTTAGACAAGTCGTTACAAAGCGCTCTCAGCCTAGGTCACGACCCTAAAAGACTAGACAGAAACCATCCGCTAAGAAAACGATAAATAAGACAAGTGATCATGTAAAGAACTCAAATCCAAAGTAACATTTACTGAACCTCTCTACTCTATTAATAAGACTGAAATGTGATTACAACTCAAATATCAAAATGCTAACAACTTAGTATCCGAATTACAATAGAAATTGCAGGAAGTAAAGCAACTAGGGATAGATAGAAGAAAGGGATGAAAAGGTTAGACTCAGAGAATGGGAGACAAGGAGAAGCAAACACTTTTCTCAACAATAGGCATAATCCCAAAATAAACGACCAGTCATTCTTTTTACAGAACCATCCTTGCGTCATATACTCAACCTGGATCCCAACTTAACCTGACCCTATTACTTGTTCTTCTGCCCAAAAGCTCTTCTCAGTCCAATAGCTACTTGTGTGACATTGGGCTGGAGCTGGTTCATAACCATACTCCCGTCCTCAATAAGAACCTTGTCCTCAAGGTTCGAGTCAAGAACGGTGATACGCGCGAGCTCCCAATCCCGTATCTCAAAACCAAGGCATGCTTTGTGACTTGACCAGAATATGTGATCTAATGCACCTGTTATGATCCCATCAAAACTTTGATTATTATGGCTCTTAGTAGAGAGTAACAGAGATCTTAACTTGACCTGCCATACATATTCATGTGCCCTTGCTTGTCATCTTTTAGAGTCAATCAGATGCAAGCTAAATGAGAGAACCAATGCAAATATTCCAACAACGAACCTCCACAAAAGCATGACTCGGTTAAATGGAACTGTTCAGTGTTTTGGCAAAGTTTACTTCATATCGGGCATTGCTGTGATGATAAACCGCTTGTGTTTCCTCTGAAAGATCCATAGGCCATAACAACACTGGAATGAACAGTAGAATAGAGACTGCTATAATAATATCGTTGACATGATTGTGCTCCACAGCAGCTTCATAGTTTGTACCATACTCAACCACACTCCAACTTAACATAGGGAGAACAAACGATTGAGAAAAGTTGAATTGTAGTGCAACTTCTGCATCGTAATAGCTCCCCTTAAAATATTTAAATTTGGCGGAATCATCGTACTTGCCATCTTGCAAATCTGATTTTACTCCCCATGTAACATTGTCGTGCTTTGGCATTTCCACAGAACCCTCAAGTCTCTGCCAAGAGGCAACCCGTTTATCTAACTGGACAATTCTAGCTGAGTTATCCACAAAGTAAATCAATGTCGAAAAAGAAATATAATGAAGATGCTCCCAATTGACCTTAAAATGTACAGATGTAAAGTCAGCCTCAACTTGTTCCATGTCATCTAATAGCGTGCAAAATTTGGCTGAACGACCGAAAACCTTCCAATCATCTTCCAAAAATCACAAGTAGAATATGCCTCCTCATAAACACTCCATCGACCGAAAACCTTCCACTTAACTCAACTCAAGAGAGAATCACAACACACAACAAACTTCTCATACCCGTACGAGACATCGGCCTCGAGTCGTGGTAACAACTATTGTGAACTCTTCGAAACCCATTTGCACATAACCAAGACATCAGAACCGAATCCCTCTAAATCAACCAAGTCATGTAGACTGGTAAACCCAAAAGTACCTCAACCTGAATGCCTGCACCGAAGAACCTTTTAATGAATATGGTGCGGTTTCTTCCATCACTCTAATAATGCAATAACGAATCAGTAATGATATATAAATATCACTAGTCTCGGCACTATCCAATGCAAATATCTCAGATCTTAGCCACACACAAATCCGAAAAACCTTAGATACCACATATGAATGTTGAACACACTAGAACTATTCTCGAGAGTCACTCACTCTGACCTAGTATTGAATGCATACCCAAACATGCCGAACAACTAGTGCTTTGCTAGCACATGAATACTCCAAAGAAACAACCGAGAAATTCTCTCCTCCCACAAACTACATCCACAAAGGAATATCAAACCTGGGCCACTCCACAACCTCTATATATTCATAAGGTGTATTACATCATGCATCTAAATTCCTTGACCAACTCATCCTCGATAACACCCTTCTCAAACCATATCCAATCCACAAGTGCATCCAAGTTTAAGAACTGTAGCAACACATGCCCAAATGACCTAATCGCCGATAGTAGACTCCTCCATTTGGCTTGAAGCCACAAACACATCATCTGATGGCCCACGGTACTCTTCCTCCTTACCTGCCAAGGTCGCACACTGTTACTCTGTTGAATTCCTCATAGGCTCATGTAGCAATAGTCAAAATACCCTCCAAATAGCGTGCAAAAATTTGGCTCGACTGGATTCTTGTTGTCTAAATCGAGAGTGCGTTCTAGGGAGAGGAAAATGCAGCAACTGCTCCAGATATTTGCAGAAAGTTACTTCAAGCGGTCACCACATATTCGGGTCGCTAAAGTTGTTGGACTCTTGTTAGCTCTTTTTGGTATAGTTCTCAAAACAAGTCTGTTTGAAGCTCAAGGACTGCTTGCAAAGGATAACAATGGAATTCTTGTTCTCTTTTATACACTATTTCATTTGGAACCTGATGGTAGCTTGGAGTTTGGTTTGCCTATAATGCAGCTGAAAGAGCTTTTCAATATATACAACTTTCTTGTGAGCCAGGAGAATCCACATATTGCTTCCTTGCTGCAGATACAAGAGTTTAACAGAGCTTATGGCGGGACGTTTATAAACGATTGTGTAGATGACTCCTTTAGTGACAATAAGAGATTTGGTGGGGAGTGCGCTACTTATACTGTTTTTGTCTCAAACCTTGAGAACAAGATCAACAAGAGTAAGAAACAACACAAGGTCCTTGAATTTGAGCGCACCATACAATCTATATGTGTTATTCTCAGCATGGACTTCTTTAGTACTGTCACTACAGTTCGCTCGAGCTTGAATGACTCTACTAGTGTAC